AAGTACAAATGCCCAATAAATATATGAAGAAACACTCAATATCATTGACCATTAGAGAAATACAAATTGCCCCAACACCAAGATTCCATTTTAACCCAGAAAGAATAGTCATTATTAGGAAATCAAACAATAACAAATTGAATGGGTAAATATCTTTATTTTTAAAATAAATAAATTTGAAAGATAACTAGAAAATAGAGAAAATATCCACTAAAACTAAAAGGTTATTACCGTCAATATATAAAATTCATATAAGACTGCAAAGCAAAATAATTTGAATAATTTAGAAAGGAAGGCAAATGGATACTTGAAAGGCAATTTACAAAGATAACTATGAATGAGTAATAAGCATGCTAAGAATGTTTAGTAAACAAAGAACACACATTTAGAAAAAGGCTGAGATTCTATTTCTGTGTTAGATTTCAAAAGGCTAGCGAATGATGTGACTATGGATTTATAAGTGTCCTCATCTGCTGTTACAGTAGTATAAATTCATAAAACATCCTTAGAGACAAGTTTTCAATAGTTATCAATGTCTTCAGAACATCTTAATTTCTAAACCCTTATATGCTGTATGATGCTTTCAAAAGGATAATTTAAACATGGAAAGACCATGTGCCTTAAGATATTTATCAGAGTTTTGTATAAGATGCATAAAAATATGAAACAAACTCCTGTCTAGCAATAAATATTTAAATATTTTATACTATTTATACAGTGAAACTTGTGTATAGGCACTATATGTTCATCAAATTAATTAAAAATATAAAATGTTTATCATATAATATTAAGGTGAAAGTCAACACATGAAGAAGTGAGTCAACACACTCACAGTATATAAATTCAACATTAAAAAATATTGACATGGGAAAGATATCAAAATACATTTATGAGAAGATTAATAATGCTTTGTTAGGTGGTGAGATTATTGATGTTTTTAAATTTACCTTTTGATTTTGTTCTGCAGTCTCAGTTTTTGCCTAAGTATTATACATTCTTTCTAGAATAAGGAAAACTCATTAAAATATTAATTCTTATTAAAACAATGTATAAAATCAAGTCCACATATTTATACCCAGATCAAGAGCTTCCTTGCACAGAGACAAGGAGCTGGTATCTCAATCAACTATTCTCTCAGAACCATTAAGAGTGAGTTTTTTGGTAGAAACCCATCAGCAGGCAATCACCAAGGATTTTGGAAGAATAAGGGCCAATCAGCCAATCTCTGCAGGGTACATATTTGAATTTGCACAGCCAGTTCCCATCCTATGGAGCTTTTGCTGCACAAAGCTAAACAAAAATCTCTATTAACAGCCAGCACAATAGACTTGATTGTTGTGTTACATAAGGTCAGATACACCACTGCTGTTGTGTCAACAAAAGACTTAGGATCGTTGCTTTAACATTTTGATTGAGGATGCTAATCAAAATCAGTCAACATGCAGAAATCGGCACTGGCACTTTTCACCAACGTGAAATTCCTACAGTTTCTGTGTCTCTCCACTATTTCTGTGCTAAATCGGAACCCCACTGCATTGGCCAGGGGCATCTGCTGTGGGTAGTGCTTCCCTCATAGAAGAACTGTCTTCTCCACATTATTCCTTCTCAGAGAAAGATACTTCACAAATTGCATTAAGAGAGATTTTCCAGCTGACACTCTGGAATGAGTTTGTTTACTCATGGAAAACACAGATATTTTCCCTATAGGAGATTACTATAACTGTCATCATAAAAAAATAGCCTTAAGATTAGTTGCTTTTATAATTCAAGCAAAACTTGGAATAATAAAGCATGGTTTGTTCAAATAGACTAGGTTAAGTATGTTGAACAAGTACATAAAACTTGACTATTTCTCTTAAATTTTTCAGGTTAATTCTGTATAATAATGTCCAGACATCCCACATCTTCACTTTTATCATTCTCCATCTCCTTAGTTTCCTGTTCCCCCATCAACATTTCTTGGTTGTGTGATTTTCTTGTTCTAACTTAAAAGAAATATTTTTGCTTTAGGTAGCAAAAGAACAAATCCTAAATACTTGATGCCTAAATTCTACCCTGAATTTTTCACATTTTGCAAGTAATCTGTACATCAAACAATGAACAGTATGACTGCAAACACTTGTTTTATTTTAAGTTAGAAGATATGTCTTGATGCAAGGATAAATAACATATTACATTATTTGGTAATTCTCTACTTACAGAAGTCTAATCTACATGACGTACTATTTTACTTCTTTAACTGTGAATAGTCATTTCTAATAATAAAGTGATTATTCATGGGGAGCCCCATTAAATCTACACATATGTATTATCTTTACCATGTTACCCAAGAAAATGCCTAAAATCTAGCAAATGAACAACCTTGCCTAGGGGCAGGTTCACTACGTGAGTGGTCAAATCAAAAGTGAATGATCAGGAAAGACTTTTTCCCTTCCCCAGGAAAGTACGTGCCCTGGAAAGATGACATAGAGCATTTATGACACGTCAAAATATAAACCAAGCCTGGGCCTACACAACACATATCCCCTGGAGAATTAGGCAATTTTACTACAGCGATGTTAGTGACCTAAGGGGCGCATCCGAGATTGTTCAGTCTACTGGAGGAGTTCACCTCCTACAATCATAATGACTATCATATGTTCACTCCCCCTGCACCCTGCCACAGATCTCCAAGCATCTGCATTCATCCCTGCCTCTTTCTTTATCACAGCAAAAGACAAGATCTTTTTCCAAACTGCAACTACAGTCATCTCTACCTGTGTTCTGCTTTATGTCTTCAGAGACCTCATCCAGCTGATTGCCCTTCTTTGCCTAGGTATTTTCCACAATTCCCTTCCATGTAGAATTTTCAATTCTACATAGAAATTGATGCCACATCCACAATTAGTTATTCTTTTTAAGGTATCTTATTTTAACCACTTTCCACTTACATCAGACCTCTATGACAAAAGGAAAACCAGTAAATACAGACCCTTTGTTCTCATGCTATGCTCAGCTAACCCACTGCAAGTTAGCCTCTATCTTGCAAAGCAATGAAACTCAAGCTTTCAGCCCCATAAATCCATAGTCTACATTGATTTCTCTGAGTTCTAAGCTCATCTATCCAACTTCCTATGACATATTCTCCCTTGGCAACATCAAAGATATCAAGATCAATCTGAATGAAAATTTAACTCATCATCTATCTCCTGTAAGCGTTTGCTTTCTATCTCATTACTGTCTGAGAGAGACAGCCACCCCTCCACAACTCCAAAAACCCGAGGTTATACTAATTTAATCCTCTCCTTCACCTTGAATTTTTAACAACTCCAAAAACTCCATTCTGCGTTTTAACTAATTCTTAAGTACACCCCAACTTTCTGTTTCTCATGTTGTTCTCTTTAGTAAGGGCTCATGACTGGTCTTGCTTAAACTATCAAAGTATTTAACTAGATTTTCCTATTTTCAACACTATCTTTTTAAAATCTACCTTCCTTCCTAAGTGGCAGAATGATTTTCCTAAAATTAAAGTTATTTAAAGTCATTCATTGTTTTTACAATTCAAATCCAAGCTTTCTAGCACAATAGCAAAATCTTTTATCATCTGTCCTGGATGATATTTCTAGTCTCATCTCAGCCAATTGCCATATGTCCATATTCTGAACTCCAACCATATCAAAATACTTCAGATTTGTCAAATACTATATACTCTGCTTTCTCGAGACTGTATTTATTCATCTTTTCCTTTTGCCTGCAAACATGCTTGCCTCTGTTTTTCTTCTAGCTAAATTACATTAAAGCTTCAAAGATTATCCAAGTGTTATATTTCCACTGAAGTCTTTGGCTGCTTGCCCCCAAACTCCTCTAGACCTGTGTTGACTTTCTTTTCTCTGTACTCTCAAGGGACCCTGCATTAATCACTTCCTAGAACTTTTAAAAAATTGGGGTAAGAACACTTAACATGAGATCTAATCTCTTAAATTTTAAGTGCACAACATAATATTGTTAACTATAAGCACACTATTGTATAATAAATAGATCTCTATAACTCAGTTATCTTGCATAACTGAAACTTTATACTTGTTGAATGGCAATTCCTTTTCCCCCTTTCCTCAGCACTGGAAATCACCATTCTACTTTTTTATTTTTTAGTTTGAATATTTTAGGTACCTCTTCTAAGTGGAATCATGTAGTAGTTGTGTTTTTGTAACTAGCACATTTCACTTAGTACAATATCCTCAAGATTCACATTGTTGCATATTGATTGTAGGATTTCTTTCTTTTTATGCTGAATAATATTTCATTATACATGTTTATCTTATTATCCATTCACCTACTGATAAATTTATGTTACTCCCCATCTTGGTTATTGTGAATATTTCTGCAATGTATATGGATAGGCTAATATTACCTCAAAATCCTGATTTCAAGTCTTTTGGCTAAATACCTAGAAGCAGGATTACTGTGTTATACTACAAAGTTTCATTAGCTAAAGCAGTATAGTTCTTTCTTCACACACGCACACATGTGCACAGACACACAAGTGCAGGTACACTGTTTACTAAATTGAACCTGGCAAAACAAGCTCTGTGATATTCAAGATCAAAGCCAGAGGATGATTCCTACACTGCAGATTTTGGCAAGAGGTAGGAATTGTGGGAAGAAGGCAAGTTGGAAGGAGGAGAAAAAGACAATTGCAGGCATCCTTCCCAGAAAATTTCCCAGAATGTCCTTGGATATCAAAGGATTACTCTTTGATTCTTATTTGTGCCTTGTTTGGACAAGTATAAACATTCACAACCAAATTGGCTCTGTTCACCCTGGGGAAATATTTCTCCAGAAGTCAAACAATTTCTTGGCAGGTTTGTGTGGCATGTGTTATACCCAATCAGGGAAATTTTTACCTTAGTGATGTAAAGATGGTTCTAACTTCTGTTCATTAACCACAGTCTCACAATTTAAGTGTATAACAAAACTGGAGGCTGAACAGAATGATGAACAAAATAACGGTAGCACCTTACCTGAGACAATATATATATAAAATCAAGGAAGAAATGACAAACAGGAAGATGTGTAGCAGCACGGTGATCATGACTCCCAGGATTCCTGGCTGTTGTGCTCTTACAAACATCCAGTAGAGCTTCGCTGCATCAGCTATAGGAGCCTCCCCATTATGTGTAAGTCGCTAACAAAGAAAAACGTAGAGTAAAAGAATAAGAATGGAAATACTGATCATCAAGTTAGATTGAAGACACAAAGACTGTATGATACTATAATGTTTTTAAATTAAATCTTCTAAGTACCAAAAATTGCCAGATCTTCAGCTCCAGAAAGAAAAAAAAAAGCTGGGCTTTGCATGCTTAGTTTACTCTTTTTTTCATTTTTCCCTTTAAGCCTTTAAATGCGTGCTCTCAATACACTATTCATGAAGTAAAACTATGTTTTATTTATGTGCTATTAACTTTTGAATTTAATGAGCACAAGATCTGAGGAAATTAAGTACAATGGTAGAAAGATTCCTTTATCTCTGAAACAGATTTGATAGGAATTTAATTTGTGCCATGCATAAAAGAAATGGTTTATTTTAGAAACTTATAAAAAAGGTATCAGGCTATTTAATGTGAGCTTAGAAACCAAAGTTTACATCAGGTTAATTTAAAAAAATAAGCTTTTGTTTTAGATGAGGAAAACCATTTTATATTGGATTATAAAGAAACACATGAAAGTGAGTTTTTATTTTTTTATTTTAAAAATAAAAGGAGGAAAACATTAACAGACAGGCTATCATTTACAAAATAGCAAGAGAACAATACAAACAATACAGAGTTACAAACAAAGTGGTAGGAAATTAACAATGAGAAGTGAGTTTTTAAAAGATAAATATAAAGTGCTAAGGACCTGCAATATCAGCATATAAACTCATTGGCCTTTAAGATTTGTAAAACATGAGCATTCTTTAACTATAGTCCTCATCAAGTGGAAGTGATATGCGATGAAAGTATACAGTAAGGTATTTTTTCTCCAAGACAAGAGAAAAAAGAATATCTTTAGTTTCTAAGCTGACAATTACATAAGTATAGTTTAAGACGCTTTTAAAAGTAGCTAATCCAAATCACATATGTGTAGAAGAAAACAGAAACCTAGACAGGTTAATTTATATTTTCTCTACACTAAAATATACTGTAGTAATTGGGCAATGACTAGAATTCAGATGCTCCAGTTCTCAACTACAGCTTCTTTGTCTACCACACCAATGTTTTATTTTTATACTCTGCATTTGTTAACCAGTATCTCTGGCACAGTGGGACCTACTGCGAGGACTCTGAACAACAGACTGGTAATTGTTTTCATGTATTCTTCCTTCTCCAGATCTTACTTTTTACTATTCCTTAAAGATAAAAAAGTGGACACAGGATTCATTGGTGCATTAACAACAACAAAACTGGTATGTTTGACGCCAATAACATGATTGATATGGATTAAATCTGAATGTCCCCCATTGCCCTCGTATGTTCAGAGGTAGGGCTTTCAGAAGGCAACTGGATCAGGAGTCTCGGTATTCATCAGTGGAGGGCAGAATTAAATGTGCTGTTAGGAGATGGAGCCAAGTGGGAGGAGGTGGGAAACTTGAGTAACCCGGAATGGTTCATCTCACTCTTCAGTGCTTCCCTTCTCTCTCTGCTTCCTGGTTACTGGAAGATGAGCAGCTCTACACTGCCCAGCCCCCTCCACAATGCTGTTTGCCATGGAGCCAGCTGACTCTGGACTACAACTGTGATCCAAAATAAATCCCTCCACTCTTAACTTGTGGGTGCTGGGCATTTTGTCCCAGCAACAGGAAAGTGACTGAGATCATGATCTAACCCATAGATGTAGATCGCTCATTTGACCCACCCATATTGAACTCCTACCATCTACACTCAGAAGATAAAAGAGGGAATAAAATTAGACAAAAGCATTACCATCTTGGAGCTTCATTTTCAGTGTGTATGTGGGGTGGTGAATAATTAGTAAGCACACAAGTAAGACTAAGAATAAATAATATATGATTCATCAATGAATGATATGAGGAAGATAAAGAAAAGAAGGTGTAGTAGGTATGTTAGTCAGCTCTCTATCAGTGTGACAAAATACCTGAGATAAACAACTTATAAGCAAGATGAGTTTATGTTGGCTCAGTGTCAGTTCATCATCAGTCGCCTCCTTTGTTCTCCATCTGTGAAAAGGTGGTGCATGATGATGGGAATGTACAGTGCAGGGAGATGCTGACCTCATGGTGGCCGGGAAGCGAAGACAGAAGGGGGAGGGCCCCAGCAGCGCTTCAAGGCTACACCCTCATGCCTAAGTTCCTCCCCCACACCCCACCTCCTAAAGTTCTGCTGCCTCCCAGGAGTACCACAGGCTGGAGGCCAAGCCTTTAACACATGAGCCTTCGGGAGACATTCAATATCCAACTTATAGCCGGAGCAGTGGGTGTGTGTTGTTAAATACCGCTGTCAGAAAACACTTCACAAGCAAACGACGTTGGAGTAAAGGGTGGAAAGGAATGAGCCACGTACCTGAAAATGGTGTTCATCACACACTGCTCACACTATGTCATTGTGTGTGTACAGTTTTGGTTTCCTCACTAGATTTTAAATCCTTCCCTGAACCATTCAGGCAAAGGTTTTATAGCTTGATAGCTTGCATCATCAATAGAACATAGTCTAAATGGGGTCATGGAGTCAGTGCCATGGGGCGTATATCCAGCCCCTTGCCCTTCCTTCCCTGGCGCTCTTCCCCTGCTCTGCATCTGCTGCCATGAGCTGAGCAGCTTTGCTCCACCATGTGCATCTGAAAGGATGTCTCTGTCTGGAGCCAACCAATCATGGGCTAAAACCATGAGCAAATTGAACCCCTCTTCCTTAAAGCTGTGAGTATGGGGTGCTATGTTTCAGCAAGGAGAAAGTGACTAAAATAGCAGACTTTGATAAGCACCAGAATCCCTTGTTAATCCCTCCCCAGAGCCCCTTGTGCAAGCCTGTAATTCTGCATCAATTCCCAAATGATATTACTCCTGTTGTTTCAGGGACCAACTGTTGAGCACCACTGCTTTAGATCAGTACTTCCCCAACTTCAGTGTGCTATCAAATCACCTGGTGACAAAAGATTTAAATACATATTTAACTCCATCCAGGGGCATGCCCATGTGCATTTCTACAGGCTCCCAGGGAATTCCGTTGCCATAACTTTAGAGATTTTTTTTTTAAGAATACTGGAAGTAAATGCTATCTGCAATAAAATGTGATGGATTCTAACTGGAAAACTGATAACTTTGGAGACTTGGAATAAACATTTAGCTTTTCTTTCCAAATATAAAGAGATATTGGTGCTGTATCTATCTTTCAGAATCCAAGTCAGTTTCATCAGGTTACAGACTTTGGACTGGTTCTAAGATGGCCATGCTGGAGGCTACTTTCCTGGAGATTACATCAGAGACCCCAGTGTAAATTAAGCCTGCTCATGTTGTCATTTGCCTTGGACACAGTGGGCTGGTAGGCCATTAATCTGCGTAAGGACCTCAGGAATAAGGAAAGCAATTCTATGAGCATTGCAGACGTTTCCTTCTGAGAAACCTCTGATGATCATAAAGGACAGCTGCTCATCTCTCCCAAGAGGCTTCCCATATGGCATTGAAGTAGGCTCAGTCCCAGGACCACATCCACTCAATATGCACATCAGGCCTCTGGGAGGAATTGGGAGATGCCAGGGGATACGGTTCTCTTCTAGTGCAGATGGGATCCTCTACATCTTCTGCTCAACAAACCTTGACAACACCATCTCCTTCTTGCTAGTCTGTAAACTGCAGGAGGTAAGAATGTGGACAAAACCTAGCTGGCTCTAGCTTGATCCACACAGAATCAGAAGGGGTCTAATCATCAGTGTGGAAAAAAATTTGAGATGGCACTGAAAACACAACATTTCTGGCTCCAAAAATTTCCTCTCCTGCAATGGGATCAAGGTGGCCAGTGATTTTGAAGCTAGAGAGTGGTCGTTGCTGGCTTAACCAGTTTGCCTGTCAAGTACTCTTGAGCTCTGCTTGGCATATGGCTTTGCCTCCAATCCCTAGCAGCAGTGATAGGAACTGGCTACACTGGTAGGCTCTTTGTGTACTGTTTTAAGGTCCTTTTAATAATGTTAAATGATCTGCATGATGAGAGTTAATAATTGCATATGTTGGCAAGGTCAAAGCTGTCTAGCAGAAGTCATTTCCATTCAGAAATAAGCAGTGCAGATTTGTATATGAAACCTAAAAAGATACCAGTGCACTCAGAGCTTCAGACACAAGTTTGGTTAAGAGCAGCCCAGGAATGCACAAGTGATAGCCCAGCCCAGCAAACAGCAAAGGGGAAGAAAGCTTTCTATGTAGCACCTTGTTACCCAAGATGTGGTCCAGGGAAACAGAATCATTGCTATTATGAAGGAACTGTGGGAAATGCAGAATCTCAGGCCCCACTGGCTGAATCAGTATGAGCATTTTAATAAAATCCCAGGGAATCTGGGAGCACATTAAAGTTTGAGAAGTATTGGTGTAGCAGCACACTATCATGTGAGAGAGAGGTAAACATGGGGCAGGCTCTGATGATATGAGCTGCTTCCTATAACACTCAGGATGTAGAATGTCTCCATGAATGTAGTTTGGACAGTACTTTGGTCTTTAGTTCTAAGAACACATTATGACAATGGAATCAGTGTCAGACCTAATTAACAAGTAGAGTCCAGCTAAATACTCCATGTTTGATCTACTTGGCAGAGTGAGTATAAACACATATACAGTATATACCAATTGTGAAACTTTAATTTCCATATGCATTGGGCATATGATATTGTATAATATAATTTTATAAGTCAATATTTGGCCATTTTGATTAATATATTTTCCATCTACCCCCTTGCTTGGGGCTGCATTTTATGACAAAGTCTTCAATGCAAAAATTTAGCTAAAATTCAGATTTCTCTTCCTTTACCTACCAAAATTACTTCAACAATGGTTGACTCCATCTTAAAGAATGTTTTTGCTTGAGTCATTCCACATTTTTTCAGTAGCTTTAATTTTGTTTTGGTCACCTAATGTAAAGCTCTGAACAACTTAATGGGACTTAGATAAAGTTGCTAAGGTGCAGGTTGGGGTTTGTGGCTGCAAAGGCAGGGGCAGGGAAACAGAGGATGTCTTGTTGCACCTCTTCCATGCTAAGCTGCTGCTTTCTGAACTATGTTGCATTCCTGGATCCTCCCAGGCTGCTCCTCAGAGCTTTCTTATACAGCGCACTGTCAGTGGTTCTCAGACTGTGACCTCCAGAACAGCAAGTGGTAACTTGCTAGACATGTAAACTTGGACCTTATTCCAAATCAACAGAAAGAGAAACTCTGGAGTAGGGACCAGCAATTTTTGTTTTGGCAAAACCTGTGATAGACTCTGATGCGCAAAGAAGTTTGAGAATCACACACTCCAATAAGCACTTACCAGGAAATCTCTGGCCTTACAAATTCAAAGCAACAAGAAATTTGAATTTGAAATCTGAACCTCTTTGTTTCTATTTGAAATAAATTTGCACTGATACAATTCTGCATGAAATTATAGCCTAAAACTTACTACTAAATTGAATATTTTTATGTAACCGAGTAATTGTCATCAGTGATAGTACACATTTGATTTCACAAAGCAATACACTGACTCAAAGTTTGAAGGAGAGATTTTGACGTGATGGAAGATATGGCAACCTCAGAATTAAGAAATCTGGGTCTTAGTCCTAGGCAAAGTGTGGGCTCTCTGTACGGCCTTGGGCAAATAATGGAATTCTTTGTGACTGGCTACTTCCTTCGAGTTGTAAAATGAGAACAGCATTTGCCCACTAACTTACAGTCTTCCAGTAAGTATATAATAAAATAAATGATGAGAAGATGTTTTAAAACTTCGAAGTACTTTTCAATATTTCAGTATTTTCTTCTTTTGCAAGTGTTTATCTATGAGAGTGAAAATCACACTTACATTGATTACATTAGGCATCTGAGATATTTTATGAGGAAAGACTTCATAATTTCAATTTAAGATAAATATTGAATGTTCATCATAACTGAAACTTCCTATGTCAACAGATTCATACACTAAAGCGAAATTCTGTGTCAAGGACTCATATTCCGATTATTTTGTTTGACTTACCCCCAGGAAAGTATCCACTATGAACACCGCCAATGGGTCTAGAACTGTCCATAGTCCCATGGCAATGATTAACTTTGACAAGATATCAGGGCAGGAGGCAAACAGCAGCTGACAGCCCCATCTGATCAGAACCAAAAAAAATATGACTGTACTCAGCATTAAAGGGCCCACCACGACCACAGCCAGCTCTTCTGAGATGCTAAGTGAAGACGTTGGGTAGCAAAGCTCCACTGTGTAGGGGTAAAAATGGAATCTGAGGAAACAAAGCGTGAATCACATACTCGCAAACAAGAAGAGCTCAAATGCCAAGCCCACAAAGCTATTCAGAGAACTATGTGTTTTGTTTTCCTTTTTAACAGCTATAGAAAATTTAACACAATAAAACTTGATATAACACTTTAGAAAAAAAAGACATGAAATTAAATGTTAGATGTCTTTATCCTTCCCTGCCCCTTCAGTAATACTGGACAGTTCACAATCAAGGAAAAGGCAAATTTATCGATCTTGTAAAAGGACATGGAAATTATCTTAGCACAGGGAGTACGTCAAATTGGGCTGAGGGACAGAGTAGTCTATAGACCAAAAGTTTGCCTGCAGTTCTCGGTATTTATCTGTAGGCTATTTTAAATGCAAAGTGTAAGGATGGATTTTCTGAGTCCACCTCTAATAGCAATGAATTATGTTTATCCTGTAAATCTAATAATTCCACAGGGTTTAATGCAGCTGAGTGACTTTATCTTTGATTCCTTTCCAGGCAGACTCCCAAATGCATGAATAACGCCGCCATCGCTGACCACCAACACTTCACACTCATTAGTCTAATGAGCTCTGGAACTCAAGCATCTTGACCCAGGATTTTACACCATCTTTTTGTGCAAAATGAGATTGTTGGCCACTGAGCTTTCTCTCCCCTGAATTTCAGCCTGTGGAAAGCTGTTTCATAATTAATCTCCTGTCTGTGCATTTTGTTTATCAGTGGCCTACTAAAGAGATCTTCATTTATTCTTTTCCTTCCCTTTGATTTCTGACTAAGTATTTTGTTTGCTTGTTTTTGCAGTACTAAGCACTGAATCCAGGATCTTCACACAGAGCTACAATTCCCTTTTTGTTTCATTTTGTTTTGCTTTGTTTTGTTTTGTTTTGTTTTGTTTTGTTTTGTTTTGTTTTGAGTCTTAGCAAGCTGCTAAGAGTCTTAGCAAGCTGCTAAGTTGCCCGGGCTGAACTTGGTACCCTCCTGCTTCAGAGAGCTGGATTGCAGGTATACACCACCGTATCTGGCTCTAAAGTGCATGGTTTTGTTCGCAGCTGTTGTGAATATCAAATAATGCATATTTCTTAGCACGGTTACTGCCACAGAGGGAGAATAAAAGAAATGTTCACAGTGGGTGCTGTTACTGTCAGTCACAGTTATGATGTGACACAGATCTACTGTGTGATGCAGAACTGAGGACCAAGATGACAACCAGAAAAATATCTCGTGAGAGATTAGGCCCTCTGCTGCTTAAGAAATCAGTTAGACCTGGCTGTCAAGATATTCCTTGTAGTCTACTGTTTACTCACAATAAAGATAAGGCTTCCTTTTCTACTAAAGAATAAATGAGCTAATAGTAAAAAGAACAAGCCCAAACATACAATATTTATCTTTCCTGTTTCAAAATCCTTCAGATGAACAAGAGAAAGAAGAAAATGAACAACAAGAAAGGAGAAAAATGAAATATCAGAATATCCAGCAATATCCACGTAGAAAAGCCCCCCTAGAAAATGTATTTGTCTAGTAAATGTACATGTGCATATTTGCAACACATTCAAGTATTTGTGATTTACTATGAAAAACTGTGTGTGTACATATATACGTATATATATATTCCTTTTCATTAAATCTTAAAATTTTTGCAATCACTTTAATTGAAAATATAAACACATCTTTGTTTTTATCCATACCATCTACATTTGAGAAAATTAATTTTACTTGTATTGTTATCTATCTGTTTGTCTATCTACAGTGCCTACAGAATTATGTTTATAGAGAGATAACCTTTAAAGTGTCATCTTTTCCCACAGGATAATGGCCCAGAAAGCTGCCTGGGCTTGAGTTCGGTAATTGTTTGAATTCAATCATTTTGTACAAAAAGCAATCTTTGCTTCTCTGAGTGCAGGTAATAAATCAGACTTAGGTTACTTCTAAAATACCTTCAGCCTGAGTCACTCTGATAAAATCAAAACATAATAAAACATTGGTGCTAAGTTTCTGTTTTGGATTCTGCTCAGATATTAGAACTTATTTGAATCTGTTAAGTTTTAAATAGATATTGATGTACCAGTTATGTATTTGTATATATAGGACCAACAGTAAAATGAAACTGTAACTATAATAGAAGTTTCTGTTCCCAGATAGAGACATTTGTGTCTTTCCAAATCATACCCGCATTTCAGGTCCTCCAGTAAATGGACAGAAGCACGTTGTACATTCACTGTCCTATCAATATAATGAAAGTACATTCTTTTGAATTTCCAAGGAATTACTCACTTTGTCACAGGAGTTGAGATGGCTTGGAGGAAAAGCCACTGGGCAAAGTAATGCAGGCAGAGCCTCAGGAAGCAGAGGGAAGCCATCAGCAGGATGGTGCACCAGAAGCCCTGGCTTTGCCACTGCACAAGCTGCAGTTCTGAAAACACCGACACCCTCACAAAGTGGAGATACTTGAAGAGCCCTCCAGGTCCACCAGTACCAGCCATTGAAAAACTGCTGGAAAGAAAGAAAACAGATATACTCTGTAAGCTCCGGGTCTTAAACACCTCCCGGTGACTCATGTGTGAATGGCTCGGCCCCCAGCTAATGGCACTGCTGGGAGGTGGTGGAAAATCTGGGAGACAGGACTTAGTTGAAGGGTGCAGGGTGCTGGGGTTTGCCCTTGAAGGGGATATTAGGTCACTGACCCCTGGTGCTCACTTCTTTTCTCCCTCTCTCTCTGCTTCCTGTCTGTCATGAGGTGAGCTGAGCTGCTCTGTTCCACTATGTGCTCCCCACCATGATGCTCTGCCTCACCACAGGACTAGAAACAATACCAAGGACCCTGTAGTAGAACCTCTGGAACTGTCAGCAGCAACAAACCTTTCCTCCTTCAAGTTGCTTCTCCCAGGTATTTTGTCACAGCAATGGAAAGCTGGCTGACACATATGTTGAGATTGTAGTACAACACCAAAAGAGATATTCTGACAATTATAATAGAGACAGTGTGGAAATAAACTGAATGAAATGGCTTTAAATATATGTGATAATTGAAAATATTTGCTTCTTTTTGTTATAACGGATGAGTAAAGGGAACATAAACATGGATCAGGGAAAAGCACATCAAAATCACAATGAGATGTGGCTACCTAAAAATAAAGAAAAAAAAACAATTACTGGCAAAGATATAGAGAAACTGGAATCTTTGTGTTTTTTTGTTTTGTTTTGTTTTTTGTTTTTTTGGTACCGGGGATTGAACTCATAACCTTGCACTTGCCAGGCAGGTGCTGCGCTATTGAGCTATATCTCTGGCCCCTCCTTGTGTATTATTAACAAGAGTGTGAAATGATTCAACATCTATAAGACATACCCCTAAAATTAAAATATGCGTTACCATATAATCAAGCAATGCCACAACTGGATAAACATTGGAAGTGGCATATGGAATTAAAAGTAGGCTGTATAAGTGGTATTTGTACATCCCAGTATTAGCTACAAAAGCCAACATATGTAAACAACATGAATGTCATTGGTGAATTAATGAAAAAATAAAATGTAGTGTACATAAAATAGATTATTCAGCTTTTTTTAAAAAAGCACAAATTTCAACATATGCTATAACATGAATAAACCTTGAGGATGTTACATTAAATAAAACAATCTAGTTGCAAGAGGAAAAATATGGAATGATTCTGCCTCTATGAAATATCTGTAGCAGTTAGAATCATAGCAAGAGAAAGTTGAATGGGAGTTTCCCAGGGCCGAGAAGAAAGGCATTGTTGGGAGTTGCTATTCCGTAGGTATACAGCTTCAGTGTTGCAGGCTAATACACTTCTGGAGATTGGTTCTACTGCAATATGAATAGACTTACTGCTGACCTGTACATTTAAAAGGGTTAAGATGGTCAATTTTATGTTACATGTGTCTTGTTATAATTAAAAAAGTTTATTGAGAAATGTGGAAATAAATTTAAATAACATTTTTAGAAAAAAATTTTGAAAACTCAAATATATTCCTGTTTATCTCACTTGCCCACAATATTCTCTCTTCATAAACATTTAACTTAGGTGTATGTAGTCTGTTAAAGATCAACTATTTAATCTTCAAAATTAGAGAGTTATTAACATAGCATTAAAATACATGAATAGGAATTATTTCATTCCTTCACACATTAAAGATATCTTGTGTTGAAAATAAATATAAACGAATACCGTGAAAATTGTTCTGATTTAGCTCTGATTACCACTCTATGGTTAGCTTTGGGAGCAAGAGATGTTTTCATAGTTTCTAAAATTATAATTTTTGTGAGAAAGAAGATAAAGAGGACTTCTGAAAATAAGTGCACAATCAGAAATCATTTATCCAAGAATATAGAGAGGTAATACAGTTACCACAGTGCAGAGGCTATCTATGACCTGATTCTTGAGTATGATTCTCTATGCTTAAGTTTTCTCAGCCAGAGAAAGAAAACAGTAGCACTTCCCACATCCCAAGGGTCAACATCCCAGGGGCCTGCCTCTAACCAACAGATGTGAAACACTTTGAATGGTCTCTTACAGTGGTGTACCCATGAGACAACAAATACTCAACATGCTATACCTCCTTTCTCTTCTCTACTTAACAGTGCTTTTTTGAAAAATGATAGCTTTTCATCATGCCCCCCAAATGTAGAAACTCTGCATAAATGATATAATTTTCATATTTTCCCTTTTATCTTTCTAAGAGTTATAAATATGAGTATGCAAATATTTGTTATTTAATTAAAGCAGTTAAGATCATTAGTGTACATCACATGATAAATTAAACCTGGACTTGAACTTCTAGGAACTAGCCTCCAAATTCCTGGGCTAGCTTGTCTAACTATTTTAGAGTGATTTTCTGGAGTGATTCATTAAGTTCATCACCAAAAATAGTCCTAATGATAAAACATACTTGCCAAGGCAGAAACTAGCACAAGAATAAGTAGTTCATTTGACTTAGTGACTAACTGCTGGAAAGCAGAGCACAGAAATGAAATTCATAGACATAGACATACATATATATAGTTGTTTAATAATACATAGTTGAGGTACATGATGCTTACCTTTATCTTAGGGAATATGCATGTACTTAACATATCTTGATTCATTTTATCCCCCTTCTCACTCATCTTTCTCCCTCTACCTCTAGATTCCCGTTCCCCATTTTCATTATTACTGTTATTGTCTTTTTAGTTTATGCTTGCAACAGACAGTGATTAATTCACTGTGGGTAGCCGGCATATGTACAGGATGTATCTTACGTCTTTTTTTAGCATCCATTCTGAAAATTATCAAATATGATGGTGATTTTGGCAAAAAGAAAAGATAAATAAGGGAAACAAAAGTCTGACAGCAGTGACCTCAGCAAACAGAAGAGAACCCACATCCTTAACTCTGGATTTTTGGTATGCACAGGACTGAGTCATCAAAAGTGTCACTGAGAGTTTCTTTGTGTTGTTCTTGTCTGCATTTTGCCATGAAGATGTGGAGCCTCACCTAACTGAAAGCCAGTCTCTGTACTGAGCTTGTTTTTCAATTACACAAATAGAGGACCAAACAAGAAGCAGACCCTGCCCCAGAGAGTTTGGTTTATATACAGTGATGCGGTCAGGGAACTAAGTGTCCTACAGAAGAATCCCAGAACACCTTACTGTACACGCCATCATGTGAAATCAAATCCAGAGCTGTCTACATTGCTACAGCAAAATACCCTGTACATGATCTCTTTTTTCAGTTAATTATTCTGTCACTGTTTTGCCTCTTCAAAGAGAAGGGAAAATCAAATGCAGATTTGCCATTGTGTTGTTTGCAAAAAACTGGAAAATCTCAAATGATGCAAACCAGAAAAGACAGTAGCTTCTTTGACCTTTGGAAATTTCCACTGTTGTTTTCATATCCATTGACATAAATGACTAAGTGTCTCTGCTTGTGCACCAAAACCACTATAAAGTCATGCTTTTGCCATTCGTTTCACTAATAAAATGCTTCTAAGCCACCCTCAGAAATCTACATTTGTTTGTCAGACTTGTTTAGAACAACCAGCACCCAAATTTCACTATGTACCATCTATGTTTAATTCAAACTATTCAATTGTCTCATTCATTGTCAACACAATTCAACATTTGTTTTCATTTGTTTAGTATTGATAACTATAGCAGGTGGATTTAAAGAATTAGGAAAATTTTTGAAGCAGTCCTTTGGAATTAAATTTTACAGCTTGCAAAATTAGAAAGTATCAGAAGAAGTAGTTGATTATAGACAAATAAAAGAAAGCATCCAAAACATCATTAATTGAAGAAAGCTGTATTAGCCTCGTAAGACATGCCCATATGACAACAAAATGTGGTAGTTCTATTATTTTAATAATTTTGAATTTGTATCTGAAATCTCAATGCGGTCTGATATGGAATTTTATTCATGGCTATCTCTATCAATCTTTCTTCAAATATATTTCATTCAAAAATAATTTTGCTTCATGTTTTAAAATTGTCTTCAAAGAGAGCACCTTTGTGATTATTGTAAACATGCACGGCACATTATAAAATGCAGCAGCGCTACAAAATATCTCAACTACATTTCAACTGTTCTTTCTTCCTCTGTAATCTTTCTTGGTTATGTACAAAGAGTATGACCATCAAAAGGATAATAAATGGCCTCTGCCACTGGGGTGTGTAATACGCATAGTGGGAATTGATTTGTTGGTTATGAAGGAAGCCATAGAGCACACAGATCACTGCAAAATCACATTGAGGCCAGCAGCTACTCCTCAGCTCATGCAGACAGCTCCTCTATCGCTCACGGGGTTAGCTGCCAGAGGGTTAGAAGAATAGGAAGGTCATCCAGTATTCAGCTATTAAATGAAACCTATTTCTCTGAACTTCAACCACATTTCATATGACACACATCTATCCCGCTCACATGTGCGGTCCTCGTAGAGACCCAAAATCAAACAAGATTTCTAGGATCCATCGGTGTAATAATAATAATAATAACATATAAAAAGACCAAGATTGCTTTGGGAAAAAGTATGGAAGGTACTCTTAAGCTCTTTTCTATAATCAACAGAAATCCTAAGACTTTGTATACAATGAAGACGTGTTAGCCATCAGTTGTGTATAATAATCCTTATTTTAAAATCACTACCAATAGATGGCACTAAAATTTCCATATTCTCTTCTTCTGGCTTAACCGAATATATTCTGGATGAATTATATTTTTAAAACTAAGGTTTTTTAAAACATATAACTATAGTAAGTATTTTATTTAGGTACTTTTCATTTTCACTGTGTTCCATTAATCAGGAAGTTTTGAGATGTATGTCTTCAGTGACTCTGAGGCTTTCTAAGAATAATCTTTTCAGGAACTGAGTAAAAAAAAATGTAAAGAAACATGCTTAGGTCCAAGCCATGGTTCTGTTAAGACTTCATTATACTCCCTCAAATTTCTGTAAAAGCTACAGCCCAAATCAGTTAAGTGATTTTCTCCAGTTAACACCAC